ACTGATTGCCACATTGATTACCGCAACGCCATTTATAACTTGTTTCCAATAAATAACATATCGTAATTGTAATTGAAGGATGCATGTTTTCAACAGGAGATATCTTCATTTCCAGATCGAACGGTTTGTAATGTATGAATAGTCAGCAATGCTCATCTGCGGGTAGTTCAACAGTTTCATTTCCTAAAAAGTCTAAAAAAGACATTCTACCGTGTGTCCTTGCAGAATCCTAGATAGAGAACCATCGCCGTATGCAAGATATCAACTACATTTTATACAAAACACGCGAATTCATCGACAAACAAAACCACCCAGATGATTGTTTCATGCACTCGGGTTTTCCTCCCGAGATGTGGTTGTCCAATAATCCACCATCAGTATGCTGCTTCACTAGTACACATTAATACAATATCTTTGGATTCATAGGATATTATGACCGTCAGGTAAATGTTAAATAGATTCGCAAGTTTACTGTAATAGTCAAAGCTTTAAATAATATAGTGTTACTTTCCAAACCGAAATGGTGGTAAGCCAACAAAACTGATAGCAAGAAATTAATAAGCGAATCCTAAAAGGATAGCGGAATATAAGGCTTCAACTGAAAAGAAAAATTAGCAACAATGTCCCTTTCCATTATAAATAGGACAGGTTCTAAGACATCACTTTGCTTCTCAATATAGAAGCCACCAGTTTTCCGAGGTTTAACAACTCAGCCACAATCTCAACCGCATATCATTGTGAATGACTTCCATTTGAATAACAAATTACTGGGGTAGGCAAACTTATCGAACACGAACAACATGTCTTTGTGGCTCACAGGGTTAAATCTTTTGGTGAAATCTACGAACATCGTGCACAATGACTGACTTCGATCACAGCATTTTGCCTGTAACTGAGAAGCTATGAATGCCAAATATATTGTGCAGCGGCCATTATGGAGTCAAAATAGCAGTTCCGTTATCGACTGATAAAGCGGTTTAGCAAGAATTAATGCATCGCAATCATAACCCAGCATGGCATACTGTTCACCCGATAGTTGGTGGAACATTGCTTGCTCCAATTGTCTTTGTATTGCGTTAGAATAAGAATGACGGTCAGTGTAGCTGGCAAATGGTATTTGAATGCATGTGATGGAACAAGTTGTGCAGGGTATGTAACAACGCGGTATATATTTGGCTTAAGAGCACTTTCCGTTTCACACCTGAACAGATGAACTGAACTGATGAAATATTAGCATGTCCGTTCCTTACCTCTCGTTGTCGTAACTCAAGCAAAGTAGACCATTTCATCCTTAAACGTTGGTCAAAAGTCACTATAAATGCTTCTCTCCATAGCTGCATTATATCTGCATGTTGCGTTCACATCGCACCAAGATTGCATTTACCAGTGCCCACCTTGGCAGCAAGAAGTGTCTATACACTTGCTTGAAAGAGTCACAAAACTCCTTACGTGGTCGGCCTTTGGCATAACATTACAACCGCGCCGCCTTCTTCTCCATACCTACGTTGTTGATGTGGTAATACTATCTAGTCAAACAACCGGCTAATTTGCAAATCTTAGTCTATGTATATTGGCCGATATTGTCCTTTATACACGTATCAAAATCCACATTTTCCCTTACACAAATGTGTCAATGGTAGCACTATTTTTATCGGACCTATTGGGGCACTTACGATTTGTGCACCCGATCGTTTCAAATCGCAAAACGAGCACCCGTTATCTAACGCGGTTCCGCAAGTCGTCGACCGAAGACATGGGGTGGCCAATGCCAAAATGAATAGCCATCACATGGTAGGTCAAAATCCTCAAATCAATATAACTTGGGAATCGAACGCTAAAATCCCGCCGATGAACAGCGAACATATTTGTGTAACTTGTTTTGCACTAACCTTTATATTTATGCCTCAGTTCCACTCAGTACACATGTCATACACACTTCACTCATGCCACACAGACGTACTAAGTCATTGTCCAGCAGGTGAGGGTGACAATTATATCAGTGCGTCCGAATAGCAACAATACTCGCATCAAATTGGTCGACATATTTTCGTTCCGACACAGTGAGTGGCACAAACTGAGAGCATGTTAACACTGCTCTCATTTGCTGTTAACACGTAGGAACTGTCTACATCTTTCCGACCACGACATAATACCTACCGTGCGGGTCGAAATCCCTCGGTAGTAACAGACGATTGTTCCACGGCGCGGACCGTACCACGGAGAACAATGGTGAGTGAAACTTGTACTTTGTGTCATCAGCATAACACGGAGGTAAGACCATATGCTGCAAAAATAATTCTTGCTGGGCGTTGTCTAGGTGTAATTAATCTTGAGTTAATGACAGTCGGACCACTCATAATGTGGATATTTATGCAGTTGGTAAGTAAAAATAAGAAAAAAGCTGTTCGCCTTTTGTGGTAGCTGTTGTCATCAAATAGAACGTGTAATAATTACCACACACGTGTGAAGTGAAGGTGTAAGAATAAAAATAGGGTTCTAGAAGTAGCAATTTTTAATTCACATGCCGCTGTGTGCAGCAGAGACAGCGACACTTTTTATCAGCTGCGGAACGGTTGAAGCAGCACGAACTTAGCTCTAGTCTGAAGCGCCTAAACGGAATTGGACTGATTTACTAAAATGGCGTCCGCACCTGAAAAGGAAAACTAATCTGTACCTAAGCTGAATTCCCACATAAAATGTTCGCCGAAAAGGCGGCACAAAATATGCCATAAGTCAAAAGATTCCAGTAGTAATAAGGTGCAAACTAATAATTAGGATACCTGCTTAGTCTCCCGTGTACTGTCTTCATGAGTACTGCTACTAGGCTAGACAAGCTGTTATCGCGTAATCAATGATGTTGATGCAACCGAGTTCTTAAATCCAAGGGTTATTATTGTATCTCGTGTAATTTTGCCACCGCTTTATTTAATTTCTGTATGTATTGTTGAATTAAAACTCCGTGTTCTTAATGGTTAACTATGTATGTTGCAAACGCGTGATCATATCTTACTTGTTCCAATGCATTTCGTTTTTCAGAGTTTAATTCTCTCCATGAAATAACACAGAAGCCCGCAGCTAGGCGCTATTATTTGTCTCATTAGTCGCTTATGGCGTCTACGTAATTATTACACGATACGGACCACAGATACAAGTATGGAAGTTGACAAGATATGCGTTTTCGTTGAGCTGCAATAACGTTATGAGTTTTATTTGCTTGTAACCCATGGAATTCACAAAACGTAATCCATTAAATATTGATATGGCAGTCAGCTAGATTTTATAAAAATATAAGTCAATATTCTGCTACAATATCATCTTGATGTTATAAAATAACAATGAAGGAAACGTGAAAATTTGCAATGTACAAAATATCGAGGAAATCATTGTTAAGGAGGTAACGTACTTATTGAGGACCTACCTTTTTCGCTTTTGTATTTTTGCAAGCTGCGTTGAGTGGTTAATTAATTGAAAAACTATGTAAAATCGAAATCGCTCAAATGTTTATTTACTCATAGTGTTTCCCATAAAGCATGTGCATGAAATGTGCACTTGGGCGTCACGTAGGGCAACTACAATTATTAACTAGGGGAAACGTAAGAACTGTGCTAGCTACTCTAGAGAAACTCTATGAACCAGCTCCCATTAGCTGCGAAGCCCAATCTTCCGGTGTATGAGTAGATCTAGCCAGCAAAAACGCTCAATATTGAGCTATTTGTTTAGCTTTTAAACAGGCGTCTTTTAGCTACAATTAAACTGCTACACTGGCTACACCATTTTCGGGTTTTCTTAATTTCCCGGACCTAACTGCTTTTTTTGTTCGTATACCGTTAATTGATGCATGATGTAAGGTCTGCTAGAGCGCATCGAAAGTAATGCATCGTAATTGCAAGTAAAGAAACATCTTAGCGTAATTGCAGTGAGTAAAACGTATTTTACTATTACCCACATACTTGTGCGCTATTAGGAAAGCACCTCTAGTATTGTGACGCTTTTGCGCAAGCATTCTTTCCTAACAATTGATAAAAGCTAACTAACATAAATGGAAAGTTAAACCACCAGGATATAATTAAGCCAGCAAACCTGTGTACCAGCAGGAGCTTTAAACAGTGGCATTTCACGTTAGTCGCTAAGCCGAGGTATTTATTTTTCAGCTTCCATCATCAGGTTCCCTAGAGCAGGGACCAATTGATGCTGCTCGCGGAAAGACGAAATTGACAATGCGTAAATTGAACCTAATAAACTCATTTGATGTGGCTTGAATTATGGGTAAATAAATTAGATTGTTCCTGTGTGTCCAACACTATTCGCTAATTTGCACGATGTTCCCGTTTGTTTAAATCCAGTCGACAAAATGAAAGCTCGGATAATTCCTTTGTAATACGAATATAAAGATAAGCATTCAGTCGCCCGTCAACCACGGATTGCCAGTAAGAATAGTTATCAGATAACAGTGGATAAATGTAATTTTTTGTCCCTGTTAGATAAAAACTTTAATTACAATTCATTTTGTTTGCTGTTTTGGTATCTTAACACTACGAGTAGCAAACTACTAGTCGAGCAATGGCTCATTGGCTTAAGCTGCTGGCTAGTTGGCCTCTGCTTCTAGCGGTCTTGGGTTCGATACCCAGAAGATGACCAAGTGAACGCGCCCCAATGGTGAGCCCCAATACAGCGAAACGCGTCTGTTGCGTTTCCGTACTAGGCTGTTCTACGAAAGTTTAAACTAAAGAGATAAATACCTTAAACGATTACATCTAAAATCCTGCTACTAACGAGTAATGTAAAATACAAATAACTTTTCTAGTTTCAAATGCTATAGTTATAGCGGCTAGCGAGAGGACGTCATCATCTCGCAGGCTAGGCACTGTTAGTGAATGTGGAACCTAGCTGGTGCTATATCCCAGTTAGCTTGCAAATTATGCAGATCAACCAACCTCCCACACCCACCTCAACCAACCAAACAACACAAACCACCCCCAACAAAAACCCAACCCCCCCCCTCACCCAAACAAACAACAACCCACCCCCCCCCCCCCCCCCCCCCCCCCCCCCCCCCCCCCCCCCCCCCCCCCCCCCCCCCCCCCCCCCCCCCCCCCCCCCCCCCACCCACCCACCCCCCCCCCCCCACCCCCCCCCCCCCCCCCCCCCCCCCCCCCCCCCCCCCCCCCCCCCCCCCACCCCCCCCCCCCCCCCCCCCCCCCCCCCCAACCCCACCCCCCCCACCCCCCCCCCCCCCCACCCCCCCCCCCCCACCCCCCCCCCCCCCCAACCCCCCCCCCCCCCACCCCCCCCACCCCCCCCCCCCCCCCCCCCCCCCCCCCCCCCCCCCCCACCCACGCCCCCCCCCCCCCCCCCCCCCCCCCCCCCCCCCCCCCCCCCCCCCCCCCCCCCCCCACCCCCCCCACCCAACCACCCCCCCCCCCCCCCCACCCAACCCCCACACCCCCCCCCCACACCCCCCCCCCCCCACCCCCCCACCACAGACCCCCCCCCCACCCCCCCCACCCCACCCCCCCCCCACCCCCACCCCCCCCCCCCCCCCCCACCCCCACCCCCCCCCCCCACCCCACCCACCCCCCCCCCCCCCCCCCCCACCCCCCCCACCCCACCCCCCCCCCCCCCCCCCCCCCACCCCCCCCCCCCCCCCCCACCCACCCCCCCCCCCCCCCCCCCACCCCACCCCCACCCCCCCACACCCCCACCCCCCCCCCCCACCCCCAACCCACCCCCACCACCCCCCCCCCCCCCACCCCCACACCCCCCCCCACCCACCCCCCCCACCCCCACCACACCACCCCCCCCCCACCCCCCCCACCACCCCCCCCCATCACCATCCCCCACCACTCACCACCCAACCCCCCCCCCCATCTTATCCCCACATCAACCTATTCGTACTCTTCAAATACGTCCCTTTACCCCTAACAACCTATCCCGCGAAAGTGTATTGTGTCACACAAACAACAACAGCCATAGAAACATCAAAATGCTTTGTGCTCATTTTAAATAAATTAACCATACTTTTAATATCTAGAATATTTTAAACAGCAGTTCGCAGTCAAACATTATAATCATGAATCGCCCTTTTATTGTCCATGAGAACAACAGCCGCTTTCGTTTTAGACTTGGCTACCACGCATGCACATAAAAACAAGCTGGTTTAGAGCGAAACCCTGTGAAAACAACGTTCACCCTAAAAACCTGACTAGTGATGCAATTGATCAATTGTCACATGGTACTGCCATAAAGAAAAACAAATAAGTAGTACGCTGGTGCGCCTTATGGGGCTTGGCTGCCAAATAACCACCACCAGTCGCGTGTACGCTTGGTATACCGCTAATGTCGGCCGGTCCCCCAAGAAGGCAAAGCATAATGTATGTACTTTCGATCAGCTTCCAAAGACACACTACGCTTTCAAATAAAAATAATACAAAAGCGGCTAGCGTGAATAATTCGTTGAAATACTTAGTGACGTGGTTTAGAGTATCAGAAAATGTGAAACATTGTTTCGGAAAACTGCCGTCAGCTCCCAGAAGCAAAACTTAAAGATGTATGGCAAAAATTGACACAGCGTGACGTGCCTGTAAGGCAAACCCAAACTCAGCTAATTAAGGTAAGTTACTGACCCACTGCAAATATAATACCATAATTGTCCGTGAGTAAAAAGTAACTCATCAACAGCGCATAACCAACATGATTCCGGTAAACTACATTTTATTACACAGGCATGTCAACTACCTTCAAAGTTCCTAACAGCCTGTAGGGTACAATGGGCTGAAGATACAGCCAACGATATGCGGCTAAACTACGCTCTGCGTTTCGTAATTCAATTCTATCCATGTCGCATATCCTTATACAGTTTAATGATTCAAGTGCTTACACACTCAAATTACAAGGCAGTAGTTGCGCTGGAAGTTGGTTTCAAGGTCTGAACGTAAGTCTAGGTGAGCTAACAGCATTCGCCCAATAGTATTTAACGTTACAGCCAATAAGCTAAATGAGCCCGTCATATTTGTTTCAAGGATGGTTTGATGCACACCAATTCTCTTTTTCGGATGCCTGAAATTATTGCCATAAATTTAAAGGTGGTAGCAGTTCATAAACCCTAAACTATCGCCCAAACACTCCTTTCGTGTGCTCTCGAATTTTTTACAGCGGCAAACACTGTGGCTCTAATTGTCAACATGGATAAATGCATTGTTCTGACACCAGAACTGCATGGATTTCAACGTCAACGATAACGCAAAACTAACCTGCTGACAACACCAGGTATTTGGACGGAAGTGGCTGAAAATGCTGGACTTCACCAAGCCTTTTGACCTTCTGGATCCTAGCATTGTACTTTATGGGCTACAAAGCCATGGAATGAAACATAATGTTTATTGTTAGATTGTCAACTTTTTCCCAATCTGAGGATTTGAGTAGGTGCTGGCGGTGTGGTCATCAAGACAATACAGTTAAAATGAATTTTCCCAGTGCATGCTACGACAACCGTTAACTTTGGTTTCCTGCTCTTCGCCGATGATCTCAAGACATGGCAAACAATAAATAACCAGGATTACCAGAATTCCCTTCTCAGTGAATTTTGTCGAGCTCATAATTGTTAAAAAGAAACGTAGCCTAGTTAAAATACAGCAACATGCTCGTAATCCACCGGCGTTTAGATGCCTGAAAACCACAGCTTGCGTAAGGCTTCTCAGGAGCATTGTTCCGGCGCATTAGTGCAGGACAATCTCGGATGTTCAAAACCAGCAGAGATGACAACACCGAACGACAATGAGTAATCGGCCAAGATTTTTAGGGCATTCCGTCGGTTTGACTTGCTAATTTACCTACAAATTATTCACGCCTACGTGCGATCGCAAGTTTTATATACCATCCAATCAAATCTGCTCTAAAAATCTACGATGAAAGTCAACCAAGAGCATTAAGGGTTTCTTCCATCTATAGTTGTAGAGTAGTTGATATCTGTTTTCGCAGAGAAAATCATTATAGTTCTTTGCATTCAGAAGAAAGCAACGTTATTTAACATCCCCTGCTGGAACTGAACCACAAAAACAAAATAAGAGACCATTCATAAAAACCAGCAAAATAATTTAGCCGATTAGAAAAAGATAAACAAGTCACCTCACTTCCACTGTGTCATCGTGGAAAGCTTCCCAACCTATGCCTTTTAATATACCCAAGCTGGCGATATTTAAAAAATAAGTAGCATATGTCATTTGCATTAAGTTTTATAACTTGTGTTGGTCAATTAGCTACCTAACGCGACCAAACGCGACCAAACGGTGTGTAGTCAAAATTCTGGCTGGGATGTCCATATTTTGTCACCTGATTTTGTCGTCTATGTTGCGCATATAGCAATAAGAACACTAGTTGAGTCAAACGAAAAGGTTTCGTTTTATCATGCAAACGTATTTCCTCAAAACATTTCATTAGAAGGGACTTGTTAAGTATTGGTATTTTACCCGTAGTTTACATAATGCATGTATAAACAATCATCATCATGAGGCTATACAGGTAACACAAATAATAACCAATAACAAAATGCAGTTACGCTTTGAAAAGTACGAAAAGTGCGACAGGGATTTTCAGTGCGCACAAAATTTTAGTAGTTTTCTCTTCGGTAAATTTAGGAGCAATTTGGGACTACACATTGTGTGATTGAATTGCGATGCACAATCTAAATATAATGGACCGCGATTCACAATGAAACGAACCCTAGTCACTGCAATCACTGGTACCATAGTAAAGGCAGATGAAATTTGGATTTCGCCCGCCCGATGAGTTTAAATTACCTCGAAACGCGTAGTAGTTGTACAGTGTTTTTGAGCAGGCAATACCCAATTATATTTGGACTTCGTTAATTTTACCGGTTTTATCTCACTCATCTTACCAGACTTGTTAATCTCTAGCTTTCTCACTCACAATTTTCATTGTTCCACTTTGACTTTCTTTACTTTTCTACAAACCGCAATCTGTCAAAAATTAGACCAAGGCAGGCAAGTGCCATACTGAAGAACTAAAGTACATTCAATCATTTTTCTAGTATCACAGTTGTGTTGTACCTGTTGTAAAGTCGCACATATTTCCCCATTGTTGAAACGAAAATATGATACGAAATGTCGCACTATCTGTTATTCATAATACCACTGCTGGGGACGTTGCGGCGTGCAATCATTTTCATAGCATATCGCACAAATGCAAATGTTGTTACTAGTAAAATTGTAGAGATTTCGCCGGTTTTTACTGTACAGCCAATCGGGTGGTACACCTTCGTGGTTATCACGAAATATGCTTGATCACGCATATAGAGGATCCCAATAAACATACCATGTCTTGTTACTTTTCAAAACAACCTCACACTTTAAATGCACTTAACACAACACTGTTTAGTCATATATATGGCCATATGTATATATATATATGGAAACAGGTGCAATATGTTCCATATAATATAGCTGCACAACACAAATCAACTAATCATTATTATCAAATAAGTGCTATTGGCTGGTAAAAATATATATCAAGGAACATCTGAAAGTCTGATTTGGCCAGGTTTGGTGAATAAGAATTATGTGGCAGCAAGTCAAAACCACAATGGAGCTTCTGATCCGGTCACCTGGAAAGTGTGGACATTAGCGTTTTCATCCATACCAACAACTAATGCTTCCAATGGGCCCCTAAAATTAGTTTTACACGTTGCTTTTTATAATTTATTGCTGAACCCTACTCATCAACAAGACGTTTATCATCATTAAAGTTTAACTGTCCGGAATGTCATATCCAGGAATTTCTCGGCGGACGCTACTTCATAGAAGGTATACGCAAAAGGATATTTACTGTGGTTCTGTTCTTTGCTATTGTCAATAGGTTCCAGTTTATTATTGATCAGGTTAAATGTGTCCCACATTTTTCAGCTCATACAATTGCTGACCAGGTATCAGTACTCTGCGTGTTATTTATAGTAAAAATGATTATGGAAAAGATGGTTAATAAAACTATATTCAATGTGCCGTTAATAATGCACAATGTCACAATTATCTGATAGGTTGATACCCTTTCATTTTCCAATATCATTCGACTAAATACTTCCACTGGATGGTCAGAATTCGAAGATTTTTGGCTACCAAAATGCGGGACAATTTCAAGAATATCTCTGTCCGAATTTATTAACGGCCTACGAATTAATAGTGAAACATGAAGGAAAGATCTACCAAAGCGTCTCAATGATGCCGTAAAGTCCTTCAGCTGCAGTTACTTGCATACAGCTTGGATACTATATTTGTTAAGTTTTAGAAATTGAGCAATCTAAGCTTATCAATTCAAAAACTTCAAAAAATAATAATACTAATGGAAGCCTCGACAATAATACTAACATGATATCCCACTTTGTTAAATAAATTTATTATGCATTTATTCTACTTACTTATTGGATGATTCAAAAAATAGTACTTCACCACACTAAATATCCTTGAGAGCACAGCACTGGTCAATTAACTAAATTGCGTGCAATCCTCTCGTACAATGAATGGATATACCTTTACGAATGATTAGTCAAGTGGTCGCCATGTATTCAACCTTGATTTCATTGTAGGATTTAATTGTAACGTAAAATCCAGATAGAAAATATGGGCCTTCCATTGCTTAACTAATACAACTCGAAATGCCTCCTTTAGACGATCCTCGGATACCATTCCGCTATACCAATCTACCGTTTATTTTATGTGTTATTGAGATTCAGGCTGTTACTTCCATCACTGGGTTATATTATGCCTACTCAAATTCATTATTACAGCGAAAGTAACAACCTTAAATATTTTGACGCATCCATTGA